TGCCAATTGGTCCAGTGGTGAGAATCTTTGTCTACTTGACATTGAGCCTCAATCCATATTGTAAACTGCAGTCTAATATAGTTCTTTTTAATATGTATTAATCAGATTTTTAAGTGATAAAACTTCTGTAAGTGTCTTTTAAGCACACATATATTCTGAAATGTTGAGGGGGAATTTTTTAACTTATATCTGCAAATGTCTTATTCACGTAAATTAACCCATGAAAGCATAGGCTAAGTTACTTGCTCCCTTCTGTGAGGTAGTATTTATTTCTTAGAGCTTTTATAAACTTCATCTTCTTTTCCAGGAACAAGATAATGCCGTGCAAAACATGCACAAGAAAGTGGAGCAGCTGGAGGGGGAACACATGGAGTGCTCTGACCTCCTGCGCCGGCAGACCAGCGAGCTGGAATTCAGCACTCAACGAGAAGAGCGTCTTAGAAAAGAATTTGAGGTGCATTTTCTCCATCTGTTTCATAAGAATGGGCATGTTGTTCTATCATGATTCAAGATTGTCAATAGCTTCACTCTGAAGCAAAAAGATAAAACTAATTTTGGGGACGTCAGTCAATGTTGAATGGGAAGGCTGGTGGCATAGTTCTGAGAGAGTTGAGTTGCTGACTTGAAGGCTGAGCCCTCTGGCAGTTCGAATCCCCCAGTGGGTCCTGGGCAGACAGATGAGCAGTCTCTCTGATGCTGTTTTAAGCCTTGGAAAACCTGCAGCAGGTCAGCTACAAGCTGATTACAGCCTGACAGCAATGAGTGGGTGGGTGTTAGGTTGAATATTTGACCTCTGGAAACCTTTAGATCTATGTATATTTTATGTATGTGTAAAATTTTGCTTTCTCCTAAAATGTGTGTGTTTTAAACAAGTAGTTCTCTTGGAATCCTTTGAGGGTCATTGCCTACATTAAAAGGTTCAGGAAGCCTCACAGGACAGTATGTGGTGGACAAAGGCCATAAGTGACAGAAATAATGTTGCATTTATTTTTGTTACTTGATTCATGCTTACTTTTTCATATGATTTTGTTGAGTACTTCCCAGGTAAAGTTTTAGATGCAAAAGGAGCATTAACTTAACATGAAAATTTGATTTTTATAAATGAATGATACTGATAATAACCTTAAACTTGAGAGATATCCAATTGTTAGCTTTTCCCCCCCTTTTACAAATGTCCTTGTAGGTAAATGCAATGTTTCAATTTATTCTGTCTCTCATTGCTCTTCAGTCAGAACTGACTTTAACTGACTGACTTTCAGTGGGTTTTCTGGGGTTCCCCGTCACAGAGGAGGAGATTGCCCATTTTTCTCCCAAGTGTTCATGAATTCTAACCACCGGAGGGACTGCTTTTGGGTTAGCCGTGCAGTTCCCTGTGGACACTGTGCACTGCATCAGACAGCCTGTATCAAGGCTCATTTATAGGCAATGACTTTATCTTACTTGGACCCACAATCTGCTCCCTTGGTTCTAGCAGTCAACTCAGGAGACATATTGCACTGGGCTGTCTGCAGTCAGGGACTTCTCTTAATTATTGAGGAGCATTAATGTTAGTGTTGAGGACTTAGCTGTGCCCAATTCAGGCCATGGTCTTTTCAATATTTTTACGTTTGTACATCTGAGAGCTGAACAATGAATAAGGATGACAGAAGAAGAATGGGTGCCTCTGAACTGTGATGTTGGAGAGGAGTTCTGAATGGATTGTCCAAAGAACAAACAGATAATGTCTTAGAGAAGGTGCAGCCAGAGTGCTACTTGGAGACAAAGATAATAGAGCTTTGTCTCACATACTTTGGGCACGTTGCTAGGAGAGGCTACTATTCCTTGGAGCAGGACATCATGTTGGGAAGGTGGAGGGATGGTGAAGGAGAGGGAGGCCTTCAGCCAGGTACATTGACACTGTGACTGCAGCAGTGGGTTCAAGTGTGTCTGAGATGGTGAGGATGGCACAGGTAGGACAGGGTTCACATCTGTTGTTCACATCCCTTGTTGGTTGCTTTGAGTTTTACTTGACTCGGTGACACCTAAGAACAATAACAAAAACATTAGGTAACCATGAAAGAAGAAGTGGTAACATGGGGATGGCCGAGACTGACTTCTACCTGCTTCATAAAGGGGATCTTTGCCCATGAGTAATATGCATGGCTGTGGTTGTTGCTAGTTGCCATCGAGTCAAGAATTACTCACAGCAACCCTAAGAACGAAAGATCTGAGCTCTGTTCTATCCTGTGCCATCCTCACACTTTCTGACACATGAGAGCCTATTGCAGCAGTCACCGTGTCAATCCACCTGGTTGAGGGTCTTTCTCTCCCTCAGCGACCCTCCACCCGTCCAACATCATGTCCTTCTCCAAGGAATAGCTCCTCCAAGAAACATGCCCAAAAGTATGTGAGGAGTGTGGCATCAGAATTGGAGGGAGACTCATCAATAACCTGCGTTATACCAATGACACACCTTGCTTACCGAAAGTGAGGAGTACTTGAAGCAGTTGTTGCAGAAGATCAAAGAATACAGCCTTCAGTATGGATTACATCTCAATGTCAAGAAAACAGTGATTCTTCCTACTGGACCAATAGGCAGTGTCCTGATGGATGGAGAGGAGATTGAAACTGTGAACAGCTTTATCTTACTTCGATCCGTAATTAAGACTCTTGGTACCAGCAATCAGGAAATAAGGGGATATATTGCACTGGGACAATCTGCAGTTAGGGATCTCTCCAAATTACAGAGGAGTAATGGTGTCAGTGTGCGAACTAAGGTGACAACTAAAAGATACTAGTTCTTCTGTTTTCTCTGGTCATTGTCCAGCTTACTGATGCCATAGCAAGTAATTGTAAATTAGCAGCTTAATAAATTTTGCATTATGGTTGAATGATTTTATCAGATGGTGACATAATGAATGAGCAGTAAAAGCACAACAGGCGTTTTACGTTAGTTAACTTTGCACTGTGCAGTTGTAACTACCAGTAATTCTAAATCTTGAAATGTAATTATCATTTTTTAAAAGATTATATTAAGATGAGATCATAATTATGAGGATAGTTGCTGAAGTTTTAATTTAATACAGCACATTCTTTTATATCTATAGTATGTAAAAGACCAAACAATTGATATAATAGACATTTAGCTTTGTAAATGCTTTAAATTTTAGGAAAGTTATTAACAGTTAAATTTAATGATAAGGTGGTTATGTCTCTGACCAATGAATAGGTGTGTATATAAAAGTTCAGATACATATATAAATGTATATACATGACTTTAAGAAATCGGATAAACTATAAGCTATTGTATAGTTTAATAATCTCCATATGAATCATAGTTTCCTAGAATAAAAAAAATAAAAAAGATACTACCCGATCCAATTTTATAAATGTGTTAGATACCACAGAACCAAGGGAAAAGTGAACTGGAAAAAGAAATATCCCTGGCTTTTATAAACCTCTGTACAAATAGACGAGTTTATTATCATGGGAAATAAGCTTAACTCAATACGGAAAGAGAAAAGAGAAGATGCAAACCTAATTCTGAGAGAAATGGAGAAACTCTTGAAGATTATTGTGGAGTGAGAATAGGCTTTGCAAATAAATTCTGAATTGCATCTGTCAGTCATAGTCTTTATTACAGTAATAGAAAAAACGGGAATGTAGCTTTTCCTCTGAATGTGTTCATGCAAGTGAATAAGGAAAAGAAAAATGTCTCTCCCCTCTTAAAACCAACGCCTATGAAGATGGCCTTTTACAGCTATAATGTGTTTGTAGAACACATTATTTAAACTCTTACTTGCCTTGGTTACTAATTATAAAGTAGATAATGATGAAATCAGTTTATACATGTCATTAAACATAATTTAAACGTAACATGTTCGTTTTGCATTTAAAAATTTAGAGTTCTTTATTACTCTAAATTTTAAAATCAATTACTCCAGATACTGTATTAAAGTTTTTGTTGCAAAAAATGGCAGAGATTTTTAAGCAAATCAGATTAGTTTGTAACTTGTTCAGAATTTGTGATATAAATTCTCTTCTTGAAATTCCCAATTTTATTAGCAGTGGTTTCTTTTATTATACTTGTAAACAAGAAAAGTCTTTTATTTTAAAATGATACTGTTTTTTACAAGCTGCAAAATGTCATTGTTCATTCCTTTCTGAATTAGAACAGCATGGCCTATGCCCTCCAGGTGAGTCTCCCTGTACCCAGGGTGTTTGTATCTGCTCGGGAGATGTGAATTCTGATTCTTACCATTCTCCGTGATTTCAGAATTACACAAAATTGCCCAATCTCATTCTGAAAATTGTGTCATTAACCACAGTCAAGATTCTTGCACACAGGGCAGTTAAGATTTAGGCCTTTGACTATTCTTTGTTTAGTTTTAGAAGAACAACTGTGGGCTTGTTTATATAAGAACATTTAGAGGATTCTAAAAACAAGAATGATTTGACCTTTAAAAAGAAAGTTAACAGTACAAAAAAAAAAGAAAGTAACAGTTCAGATAGCCCATTTGAAGAAGGAAAAAGATTGTGTACGCTCTTTCTGAATTGGTTGTGTTTTTGTTTTCCTCCATCTCCCGGCAAATGAATTGTACCCATATGTTTGTATAACTTGATGATTTTTAACAAAACTTTTGGAATGGGCTCATGGAAACTATAGGAGCGAATGAGGCGTGGGGACTGTTTGCATCTGTGTGTGTTTGGTTAATACTGCGGCACTGGAGTTGGAAGCACGTGCCCAGTGTTTTGATAAAATACCTGTGCTGAAGGATTGCATACAAGGTATCCTCTAGACTGCCTTCTTCAAAGACTGACAAATGGCTTTTCCTTAAATTGAGTAGATAATCTGTTTGGGTTTAATGTTACTTTGTGAGTTACTAGTTAAGTGCCTTTGGGTCACCTCTAATTTGAAGCAGCCTTGTGTACAACAGAGGAAAACGAACCGATCCAGTGTCATCCTCACAATCTCTGCTGTGTGTAAGGTAATTATTGCAGTCACTCTTATCAGTTCATCTTGTTAGAGGATCTTCTGCTCTCTTGCTGACCTTCAACTTGACCAAGCATGACATCCTTCCCCAGGAACTGGCCTCTTCTGATAACATGCACAGAAAAGATGAGATAAAGTCACGCCATCCTTCCTTCTCAGGGACACTTTGGCTTCTCTTCTCCCGAGCATATTGGTGTGTTCTCTTGGCCTCCATGGCATATGTTCAGTATTTTTCACTAACAGTGCAATTGTCTTTATTCTTTGTTCAGTATTCACATGCATATGCAGCACTTGGGGGCTTGGGTCCCCGTGCACCTTTCTTTTGGAGGTGACTTCCTTGTTGTTCAGCACTTGCAGGCGCTCCTTGGCTCCAGCTTTCTGTAATGCTGTGTGCCATTTGACTTCCTGACTGCGCTTCCAAGGCCGCTGATTGTGAAGCCAAGGGAAAGGAATCTTTTGTTTTTCTGAGATCTAGGTCATAA